TAGCCTCAGGGGCGACCGTGAAGACGCACATGGCCAGACCACGAGCAGAAGCAATCTCCTCACACCACCATGGTATACATTGCAACGAGCGCGTGCCACATGTGATGTGCAAAAGATGCAGGACAGATGAAGAAGGGGAGGCGGCAGCGGCGGGTGAAAACAGAGGCGCCACGTTCGCCGCCACAGTCACGCAGTCACGGGACTGCAGCCAACTCGAGGCACAGCCGCGGGGAGTGTCATGGAGACGGCAGCACCAGCCAGGCTTGGTCCGAAAACACGCGACGGTGGGGCAGTGGTTTTTTCCTCATACAGTGGGGGCGCACATCAAGAAGCCATGTGCGCTTCGTCAGGGTATCCTGGGTTTCTTCGCTCCTCGCGCTGCGCGGTGACTTCCCGCAGCCTGAAGGAGCTGCTGCGTTCAGGGTGCTCCAGGTTTCCCCTCAGGTGCACCTCGCGCACGGGTTCTCAGGGTTGGGTTTCTTGCGAGGGTGTCTTGCGATCGCGCCCGCACTGTAGTACCCATGCCTGCGCAACCCCTTCGAAACCTCGGGGTCTGATACACGATCGCCTGCAATCTGTTCGGGAGCCAGTTTTTGTAACACCGCAATCCGGTTGGCTAGACATGAACTCTTCTCGTGTCGCAAGTGTTTCAGCAGCCTCAGTCTTGTATGAAACTTGTAACAACAAGATTGGCAGATATAACCTAATGCCAGATTACCCGCAGGGTCTAATCCTGGATGTGCCATTCCTCTGTGTGAGGCCCAAGACGCACGGGTGTGCAACACAGCACCGCATTCATGACAAGGAAACACGTGCACAGGAGAAGGAGGAGGCACGAGGAAAGAGGGGTATGCAACGCCATCTATGTCTCGAATCAAATCACACCACTCTAGCCTGCGCAATTCGTCCACGCTCCGAGCATTCGTCGCTCTCTCAGCCTGTCGCCACAAGCGCTTCCAGAAGCGTATTCCTTTCTCACGAATCAGGTGCACCCACCATGATGGAGGGCCACATGGTGTGAGCTGACGGGGCATCTGCACGTGTTCACTGAGCCAAAGCAAATCCTTACAAGTGAGATTGGTCCATGATGTGCTGACTTGCATCGCTTCGTCCAAGAGTGACACAAGAGCACTAGGGGCTGCCTGCTACAGTCGAGGGATCAATCTGAGTCGTCGAAGCCGCAAAGTGTTTACAAGCGGGGGCTGTCCAACCGCGCTCAGCAGCTTGTGTCCTGTGACACTGTCACGAGGTAGCCCGTTAAGCTTAAGGCCTGTGGCCTCACGACAAGGTGCCCCCAAAAAACGATTTTCGGGCAGCAACCACTGTTTGGCCATGAGCTTGGGGCACACAGGTGCATTATACAACAGATGTGGAGAGCAACGCTTGTGTATATATGTGAGCTTGTGGGACAATGACAGCGTCCGACTAGCAAAAACCGTGCGCCTCAGAACACCCAGGGGCTGCTGAAGTTGATGGCACCTATGTGATATTTCGGGGCCCATCCAGAGCTCGGAGTCGACGTAGGTTCCTAGTTACTTGTACTTTGCCGTGAGTGCAAATTTCACCCCTAGTGCGGGAATTGGAAGACCATCAGGAGCAACCTCAGCGAACCCTTGTCGTGCCTTACGGGCCCCTTTGCCTACGACCATCGCCATGAGCTCAGATTGTCCAACTTTGTAGTTTACCTGGAAGCCTCTGGAGACGGTCTCTTGATGAACGATTGTGGCCATCTCCTGGGCCACCGCACTCCAACTAGTGGCCCACTCGAGCTCGACTAGAGAGACCAGATCGTCCACATAAGCGGGGCCCCATACCTTCTTCTCCTCATGCGAGGCCTCGGGGTCCTCGAATGTCCTCTGAGCTGGAGCGCTGGAGCCTTGGGGGTCGTGTTCTGCAGCCTGGCCAGGTCCGCGAGTCGCATGTTGATGTTCTGTTGTATGGGTGCAAAGTCGATATTGAACAGGTAGCCGGCGAGTAGCATCCCAGGCCTGGTGCCACCGCTAGGTTGGACAAGTTGCTCGGATCCCTTCACCTGGAACCATGTTGACTTCATGGTATCAACAACTGAAGCGAGCAATTGCTTGCCAGGAATCTGGTCAAGGAGTCCTGGCTACTGGTTGACCGCGTGACAAAGCTGGACAAGTGCCAATGGAACTCCCAAATCATCGAACATTTCCTCGATTGATTCTGATGACTGAGCATATCTAGAGAGAATACCGTTGATCACGGAGCAGAAGGCTGCGCGTAGGTCGGTGAACAAAACAACAGGGTTCTTCCCCTCATATTGGCTACCTGGGCTGTTGTCATGACCACGAGTACAGCCATATGTGTGCCTTTCTTGGCCAGACCTCCCATCGGAAATTTGTTCAATAGCACCTCTGTGGCCTGGACAAGTTTGGCACGAATGAACTTACGATGCAACTTAGCAATGTGCACTTCTAACCTAATTCCTCGGTGATTGTCGATGGGGCCGACCGCACCTGATTTGTGCAAATCTATCTGCCACCCTCCTTTGAATCTTAATTCGGCAGGCCACTCTGATCTTCGTCAATCATGGTAGTAATATATCAGTGGACTCCTGGGCGGCCACCTTTACTAGGTCAAAGGCAACTCCATCTGGCCCAACGGCCTTCTTAGCGTCACTGGAGCGGATCATGTGAAGAAGCTCGCGGTGTGTCAGCAGCATTTCGGTGTCACGCTGGCAGGTATTCTGGATGGTGATTTGCTCGTTGTTGTATCTGTCCTGCAGCTCGTCCCATGACATGAGGGCTCCTTGTTAATGCCTACAAAATGTACCGTTCGTGCTCCTCCTCTCCTCCTCCGCCCCCTCCTCCTCCTCCTCCTCCTCCTCCTCCTCCATCTCCTCCACTCCTCCTCTTCCGCCTCCTCCTCCTCCTTATCCTCCCTCCTCCTCCGCCTCCTCTTCCTCCTCCTCCCCCGATGGGTGTGGCGAAGAGGAAGAAGTTGGGGAACGAATAATGGCATGAGCACAAAAACTCGCAGGTTATGTGTGTATGTCATGTTTCGTTCCCCGTAAACATGAATAATGCGCCGCGCTGACACAGCACTGCCACTTTTACTCGCAAGCTGCGCAGCGCTTGGGCGAGGTCGGCATGTTTCGGAACGCCACGTATGAGCAAGATATGTTCGGAGCTTGGGCGAGGGCGTCAAATCGCCCGCTCGCGCGGGCCCCCCAAAAATAGGGAACGACACGTATGCGACGCTCCGGGGCGGGAGCGCCATTCTCAGCTGAAACCTGCGCGGCGCCGAGCCGAGAGCAGAATGTCCGCCCGCTCGCACGTCGACGATGCCGGGTGCGAGAAGTGTGCGCCGCGCCCAAGCAGGCACGGCGCCGGGGCGAAATCTACACGTCGGCCTCTCGCGCGGCACGTGCGGGCGCCCCTTCCCGCTCCCGCCACGCATTTTGCAGCATTGACGGCGTACTGTCCACGTTGAGTGTCAGTGACCATTTTGCACTGTTCTTCTGGATCGTTGAATCGATCCCCATCCCCATCCCCATCCACATCTCGAGCCCCACCGTCTCACCATCTCAGTTGGGGATGTGCCCCTCGAAACCCGCAGAGAGCAACCTATAAGTATCACCATCCAGGGGGGAAATTATCCCGGCAAAGCAACCTAACAGCGATGTGTAGGAGCATATCTGGAAGCATTCCCCTTAAGATTCAGATGAGAATCCAGTTGTAGAATTGTGCTGTTCTCGCAGTCGTAGTCGCATTCGCGATGACAGTCGCAGTGGCAACAACAGCAGCAGTCAGCAGTCACAGCCTCAGCCTCAGCCTGCCTCAGCCTCAGCCTCAGCCTGCCTCAGCCTCAGCCTGCCTCAGCCTCAGCCTCAGCCTGCTTCAGCCTCAGCCTCAGTCTGCCTTCAGCCTCGGCCTCAGCCTCAGCCTGCCTCAGCCTCAGCCTGCATCAGCCTCAGCCTCAGCCTCAGCCTGCCTCAGCTCAGCCTGCCTCAGCCTCAGCCTCAGCCTGCCTCAGCCTCAGCCTCAGGCCTCAGCCTCATCAGCCTCAGCCTCAGCCTGCCTCAGCCTCAGCCTTGGGGCATTCAAAATGTGGCCCGGGAATGGAGTTCTGGGAACTCGAAGACACGAAGTGGCCTACAGTTGGCTCCGGGCATTCAAAATCTGGCCCGGGAATGGAGTTCTGGGAACTCGAAGAGCACGAAGTGGCCTACAGTTGGCTCCGGGCATCCAAAATGTGGCCCGGGAATGGAGTTCTGGGGACTCGAAGACCACGAAGTGGCCTACAGTTGGCTCCGGGCATTCAAAATGTGGCCCGGGAATGGAGTTCTGGGAAGTCGAAGACCACGAAGTGGCCTACAGTTGGCTCCGGGCATTCAGAATGTGGCCCGGGAATGGAGTTCTGGGAGGTCGAAGAGCACGAAGTGTGTGACTGTTGGCTTAAAACGACTTCTGCGGCACCCTGTCCGGCACCCGCCCAGACCCCCCTGTGGAGTCATCTGCTGCTCTCTTTTGACCCCACTAGAAACCTATCAGAACAAGCTGTTAGGTAAATTGGCCAGTGGGCTCAGCCCACGCTGGCGGGGATGGCGATCGGTTAAACGATGCTCAGTTCTGTAACAGGTGTGATGGGAGGTCAACCGGCTATACGACAGTTGCGCGGCAGGATGGGATGATACAAGAAGGGAGATGATTGCAGTGGACGCCCATGCCGAGAGACACCCTGCTTGCCTCCAGGGTGCCCTGGGTTTCTCGGGTTTCGACGGTCTTGCTATGGGAAGCGTGACGCTCCCGCGCCCAAAATCAATGAACGTCCTGGGATTTCAGGGTTGGGTTTCTTGTGGAAGGTTTCTTGTGGTCGAGCTCCTATTGTAAAGACAAGCAGGAGGAGGAGGAGGAGGAGGAGGAGGAGGAGGAGGAGGGGGTAAACTTTCCAAAAGCAGCGATCCGCAGCCAATCGAGATGAGCTGAGGCGGCGCTTCTAGCAGGGCAGCTTCCGCCGATCCCCCCCCCCCCGAGGCGGTCTACTGGATGTGGCAGCGCGAGAACCCTACTTCGAGGCTCTCGGCCGTGATCTCTGCCGGCATGTGCCAGCACTAGGAGGCCACATGCGAACCCTACCCACCACCTCACGATTTCTAAGGGGGGAGGGTGGGTTCACTTCGTTCGGGAGGTCCCGAGCAAAATGAACCCTACCTCCCCCCTAAAAAAACTAAAGTAGTGAGGTAGAGTTCGCGTATAACCTCCTCAGCACGTGAGTGTGCCTGCACGCGTGCGCGCGGACACCGCGCAGCCTGCAGCAACCCACGCCGACGAGAGGTCCGGAGTGGGCACTCTGGAGGGTCTCTTGGGGCCGTGCTGGGGCCCTCTTGTCGATTTGTTCGAAGTGGTCTCAAGGCACGCTGTCATGTGAGGGGGCGGAAGTTGTTTTTTCTTTTGACTCGGTGAGCCCAGAACATCCGCTACGGTTAAGACGGGCGTGTCCCTCTACAGGAGGAACATTCAAAGATGGTCCAAAAATAGTGTGGGGACGATTTTTCCTTTTTTTGAATATTAGTTGAATCTGTTTTTGCTATTGTTAATTCTTCGTCCAAGATCCGCCTGCAGGGGGAGATGCCCGAGCTAACGCTACGGTGGCTCGCCCCCTCCCCTCTCCTCCCCGTAACGGTACCAAGCGTACGCGGCAGGGGGTCGGCTCCTCCACGGGTCTGGCGCGGTGCAGGCAAGCATGCCGTGGTGTCGACAGGCACGATTGAGTCGTCGTCGTCGCCGCCTTCGCCGACCGTCGTCGTCGCCGCCGCCGCAAGTCGTCTTCTTCATCGGCGGCGGCGGCGTCGGCGTCGTCGTCGACGTCGACGTCGATGCCGATGCCGTTGCCGTTGTCGTGGTCGTCGCCGCTTGCAGTCGTCGTCGTCCTCGCCGTCGTCTTGGCCGCTTTCGGTGCTGCTACCCCTGCCAGTGCAAACGCTACTGCCATCACTGATGTTACCACGATGCTCGCGCCTGCTACGTTATCGTCACCCCGCCATGGGTGACCAGCCTCACCCCCCCGGTTAACGGACGTTGCGGGAGGGGCATACACAAGGAACGCAACCCCGTGAGAGGGAGAGAGGGGGAGAGAGGGAGAGGAAAGGAGGGAGGGAGAACGAGAGACAGAAAGACAGAGAGAAAAAGAGAGGCGGGCGCGTGTCGTGCAGGTGGGCGCGCAGAGTGCGTACCAGACCGGCGCCAGACTCAGGTCGCAGGCCTGCATTCGGGAGCCTTGAGACGGGGGTCAATGCAGACCAGGGTCAGCCAGAGCGCCCGATCTTGCAGGATCCTGCATGGCCAGGGTCACACTGACCTGGGTTTGGGTGCAGGATCCTGCAGGATTTTGCAGGATCTTCCGAATTGACCCGGGCTTGGGTGCAGGTTCTTGCAGGATCTTGCAGGATTTTGCAAGGTCTGACAGACTTGGGCCTGGGTTGACCCGGGCCAGAAGATCCCCGATGCATCTTCTGCTTGCTGCCAGGCCCGGCCTGGAGGCGGGTGCTCTCCCGAGCGCACGCGGAGCGCGGCCTCTGCCGGAGGAAGCCGCCCCTCGAGGGCAGCGGTCTAGCAGAAGGCACGGCGGTTGCGCACGCCCCGCCCGAGCAAAGTTGGGGCAGAAAGGCTCCTGCGTGCGGTTCATGGGGCACGTCATCCTCCTCCTCCTCCTCCTCCTCCTCCTCCTCCTCCTCCTCCTCCTCGCTCCTCCTCCTCCTCCTCCTCCTCCTCCTCCTCCTCCTCCTCCTCCTCCTCCTCCTCCTCCGCTAGTGTGCCCGAGGATGGCCTCGCACACGTGTATGGCGCTGCCCCTGTTGCCGATGCGCCGTCCAGGCGCGGTGCTGTGTGTGTGCACGCCAGATGCTGCATTGACGAAGATCGGAGCACTGATCATCTTAGTGGGCCCTGGAAACGGCAGGATCGTTTTTTTACCGGTTCCGTTTTGCCGTTTTTGTTGCCGGTTCCGACGCCGTTGTTTTACCGGTTCCGCCGTTGTTTTTTGACCGGTTCCGGCTCCGGTTCCAATCCTGGGGCCGTTTTTGATTCCGTTTCCGGTGGCCGCTTGTTTGCCGTTTCCATTTTCAAGGGACATTTTTTGGAAACAGTGAAAAAACAGCCCTGCCGTTTCTGGCGCCCACAAAGTGTGTGTGTGTGTGTGCACCAGATGTTGCACTGACGGAGATCGGAGCAATAATCACCTGCCCGCATCCAGGAGGTGGAATTTAGCTATCGTTCCCGAAGGGCCTCGAACTCGTCGCGCAAGTGGTTTTGTGGCCTCTTCTGCAGGAGGACTCCGGCCACGATGCGTCTCAAGCAATCGGGGCATGTCTTAAGATGTTCTTTATTAAGTGTGCAGGATCACGAAATTTCGCATCCAGGCATGTCAGCAATTGATCTGGCAGCGGGGTTCTTTCTAAAGACAGACTGTAGACCAAAGGTAATGCCACGAGAGTCCGCAAAGAAACTACAAATGAGACCAATGGAGTGGGTCACATACGACTTGGCCCCCTCTCAAAATACTGAGCTGGGACGAGGCACCACAACACTTTGTGTATACACTTGCTGGCCACGTATGGTTATCGCGGCCAGTGGTACAACAAGCAGCGAACATTTGGAACTGTGAGCACTTCGATGCACGCTCAAGAGACCGCTCTCGATCACGGTGGACATGGCCATTGACGAAAGTGCCGTCCTTGGAGATGGGTGCCGGAGTCAGCACGTAGTTCAGATCAGGAAAAGGTACCGATACCACTACCCTGTTCAACCGGTTTTGTCTTGTCAGGCCTTTGAAGGACCTCGCCGCCACGATTCGATTCGCCCCGAAATCCTCGTCAGAGCGCACCCTGTGAGAGGTCCAGGGAGTAGCAGTATCGGTACCTTCGGTTTGTTTGTTCGGTGGTTTCTGTGGCTCCAGGTGGCAGGCCAGAGCAGACGACAATATCGGCTGGGCACAGCAACTTGACATGTCGGTTTGTTGGAGGTCGTTTTTCCACCGCCAAATGCTTTCTGCGCGTTGAGTTGGTGCCTGTGGCGCCCGCACCCGCGACAAAACTGCACGTTATATTCAAGAGTCGTGCGCAATGCCGCCGACCCTCAGATCGGGGGAGCGTAAGACCCTGGTTTGCCAGGACTCGGGTTCGCCATCGTTTTTTGGCGACCGCGCCTCGGATTTTGACGAGGAGGAGTTTCGTGGGATGTCTGCAGCGGGAGGCCTCGTCAAATGCAGGCTCGGCCTCGTTATTTTTTTGACGACCTCGTCGGGGATTTCCGAGTCCCCTGTACCCAGGTCTTACGTCCCCCTGATCAGAAGAGGAGATGTGCGGCTTCCGATATCGTAATTATGTGTTGTTTGCCGATTGCGCTTGTGGCAATTTCGTCATCATATTCCTCCGGGTCTGTTGCGGGGCTAATTGGAGACGTTCTTGAAGGTTTGAGGTGGTTGCCTCTTGGAGCCGCATGCCGCTCGCCATCTCATACAGTCAGCGGACTGCTGACAAGATTCTGAAAACATTGGGGGCCTCTTGAGGGCATGTCGGGGGTATCATGGGCTGCCTTGTGGGGGAGGGCTCCCAGGGTCCCAGCGAGTTCCCCCTGTTGGGCCTCCCCTCGGGGCCTTCTTGAAGGTATTTGTTGTCGTCTGGGGGGCCCGTGGGCCGTCCTAGGCCCTCTTGCCGTCTCTAAACGTCTGAGGCCGTCTCAGGCGAGTCTGCGGGACCTCCCGGGCCGTTGTGGATTGTCAGAGGCCCGAAATGGCAAGATGGGGAACCTCAGTCAAAAACGTTTTGAAAATCATTGATTGCTGCCGTCGGAGGCCCGCTCGGGGATCCTCTTAGAGGCCCTGTTGGGGCGTCGTGAACCGTCTTGAGGCCCCCTTTGGGTGTTCTTGCGACATCTTCGAAGGCATATTGAGCATCTGGGCGGGAACGAAGGCCAGATTTGGAGACTCCGAGGGTCGCAGAGGAGCTTGGGGGGCTCGCGCCCCCCCTCCCCTCTCCCCACCCCGCCGTCCCCCGGGGAGGGGGGTGGCTTAAATTGAATTTTGAATGTGGTCGTGAGCCCCATAGACGATACGAACCAGGGCATGTTGTGCATCACCCCCTGCCTGCGTACGAATTCCCATCCAAGCCGAACTTGTTGGACGTATTTTTGCCCACGCGCCCGTCAGGGATGCAAGGCTGCAGACCAGCAGACAGGAGTGGGGGAGTCGGGGATGGGGGCAGGCAGACGTCTCACGCGCCTTCTCAGCCCTGAACACGCGGGAGTCGGCACCTTTCCCCGTCCTCATTCTCATGGGGCCTTCTCTTGCCCCGTGCAGTGAAGCCGTTCCCTCGACGAGCTCCAGGAGCCTCCAGGAGGGTACCTCCGTTTTCTCAGAACCGATGGTATACAGTCAATCCGTTGATAGCACAGACCAGGAGATGCGCCACACCCTGCCTCCGTCATACTTGCCCCGACGCAGTGCTTCGCCAGTCTGTGTTTGCACAAGGTGTCCTCGCGGATGCTCAGGCGGTTTGGCGAACATGGGTCGCCGATTTCGGTGGGGCCCGTGTTTCAATGTTCTGTTTTCTGGATCTTGGATTCTCTGTTCCGGTGTATTTGGTTGCGGCGGGCATTGCCAGGATTTGACGGAAGCGGGCCGCCGATGTTGGTAGGCGGCCCGGTTCCCAGGTCTTTTGTGCGTTTTGTGTTAGGTTACAGGGGTGGTCAGATTGTGTTGGCCCCGAGGGCACAGACAGAGAAGGTAGAGAGTGCAGGGTAGAGAGGGGAGAGTTGAGAGTGTAGAGTCTAGAGCACAACAGTTTACCAGTGCCACTATGTTGAGCCCAAGCGTTTTCGCGACCACGTTCGAACATCGGCCAACAAGAAGGTCGTCCTCGCACCTCTGATCGTCGACAAGGCCGCGCGTTCCATCTGGGCGTACTCAATGGCCTTGGCGGCCTCTGGATAGACACCTCCCCAAGGGTAGCTGCAACGGGCCAGTGGTCCTCTTCGCCCATGCCGACGTCTGAGGAGGAGGAGGAGGAGGAGGAAGAGGGGAGGAAGGCTGGGATGAGACGAAGGACAAGGAGGGAAAGAGGGACAAGTGTGCTGCTTTGGCTTGTTTTGCGAACCCAGAGAGCCATCCCGGGCACGCGAAGCGAAGCGCTACCACCCTTGTATTCGGAGCCGAAGTTGCGAATACGACCTGTCTCCAAAAACCTTTATACGAGCCGAAGCCCTGAATACGACGCGATCCCGAAACCCTGAATACAGTGGGGGGTACATGCCAAGAAACACCCTGCTTGCCTCCAGGGTGCCCTGGGTTCTTGGATTTCGATGGTTTTGCGTCGGAAGGCGTGACGTACCCACACCAAAAATCGATGTACGTCCTGGGGTCTCAGGGTTGGGTTTCTTGTGGACGGTTTCTTGTGGACTGGCCTCCACTGTACGAGCCGAAACCCCGAAGGAGGAGAAGAGGAGGAGGAGGCAGAGGAAATGGAGAAGGAGTAGAAGGGGGACCTGCAGGGGCGCCCCCAGGGGGAGACCGGGGGGGACAGGATAGGAGATGGGGTATTTAGTGGGTTGGTGTTTCATTTCTTGACATTGGAGGGGTTTTGGCCACTGGCCTTCCCCCTCTCGCTGCATCGAGGGCATCGAAGGAGGAGGAGGAGGAGGAGGAGGAGGAGGAGGAGCAGGGAGCAGGGAGCAGGGAGCAGGGAGCAGGGAGCAGGGAGGGAGGAGGGAGGAGGGAGGAGGGAGGAGGGAGGAGGGAGGAGGGAGGAGGAGGAGGAGGAGGAGGAGGAGGAGGAGGAGGAGGAGGAGGAGGAGGAGGGAGGAGGAGGGGAACCAGCATGCGAGGGAGGAGGTCACCAGCAGCAGGAGTCAGGCGCCGCGCCCGCGGAGCGGCCACCCCGTGGCGAGGCTCCCGCCCGGATGGCTGCAGGACGACAACGGCAGCGCCGCTGGCGCGGTGCCAGCGCCCCTGGCGGGAGAGTGGCGGGTAGGATCAAGCTCAGGAGGGGAAAAACACACGGACACAATGAATCGTCGTTTCCCCACAAAGATATGGGAAAATATGGGAGGTGGGGGGAAGACAAAAACCCAGAAACTATATGAGAATATGAGGGATCCTGTTATTTGTGTGTATTTGTTTGTGTGTCCCAGGGCCCCTTCACAAGCAGTGGCGAAGCGTCCTGGCTCGCTATACGTAGGCCTACCAAACGATGTTCTAAGAACCGATTGTGGTTTCCACGAGATGTTATTTTTCCTATAAAAAAATGTCTGGCAGGGACTGCCTTGTTTGAACAGATCGGGTTGATGTTCTGAGAGCCTTGTTGTTGTGTTTCGAATGTTCCTTGGTTCTAAGAACACGTCGTAGTAGGCCTATAGAAATGCCGGGACGGTCGGACCCTGCTCAAGGGTAGGAGGGTGGGGGCTCACGTAACGGGGGTCAGCGGGGCTCGTTTCGATTCCTCTGATTCGACTCGATCCGCCTCCGATGGATTCCGATTCCGATCCGATGCGATTTCGGATTCCGATGTGGGCTCCGATTTCTTATTGAACGCATACTAGCCTGCCGATTTCCGCCAGTTCGATTTTTCCCGACTCGGTTTCCATAGGAGGGTGGCTCGAAGAAGATAAAAAGCCATAAACATCAATTGTTGGTGCTCCGCGCGGATTTCTTGGATCCGCGCGGGGCCCTCCTGGCGGCGCCTCTAGCGATGGTCAGGCGGGGGCGGGGGTCAATCTGGGGCCCCAGCGGACCATGTGCACAATCTCTTGGGGCTGTTTTGCAGTCAACGCCGGGGGGCTTGTCTTAAGTCGGGCGTGTCCCTCTACAGGAGGAATTTCCCCAAATAGTAAACAAATAGTCTGGGGACGCGTTTTTTAGATTTCAATTTTGAGTATTTCTTGAACACGTTCTGATTCTTTCTCTGTCCTCCAAAATCCGGCCGTAGGAGCACATGCCCGACCTAAGGCTTGTCCCGTCTCCCGCGGCATCGCCAGAGAAACGGGGGCCCCACCGCAGCGGGAGGAGCGGGGACGTGGACGGGACGCGCCGACGCGCGTTGCTGCAGTGCCAGGGTTTGACCTTTGTTGTATCGAGCGCTGCGCTCCAGAAATTGTTGTTTCTCGGATCGCTGCCACCAACATGCGACGGCTCAAGCAAGCCAACGTTTGTCCAACGCAAAAAGGTGAATGGGACGGCGACTTGAAGAGAGTCATGTTGCAGCAGCATTCATGGCCCGAGTGGTGTCGTGGCCTGAGCCGTGGTCTCTCAGGCCTCCATTGACATGGCGCGGGTGAAGCTACACTTTTTTCTGTTAAGGAGCAGTTCCTGCTCTCATGAGCCCAGAATTCAGTGCCCCCTTGAGCCCAGCTTTCGGGTCCCATGAGCCCAGCTTTCGAGTCCTCAGTATTTCCTCTGTTAGCATTCGGCGCCCCAATGAGCCCAGCTTTCAGGTCCCGGTTGTGAGGGGCCAGCGTGTGAAGGGGGTTCGCCATTCCGTTTATTGTTCGATTGGCAATGTCAGTGTTTGTAGTTGGCCAGAGCGTTCAAGTCATTAAAATCGGAGATTATGATTCTGATACACACGTGGTGGTGCAATTGTGGACCCAGGATCTCCATTAAACAGAATTTGCAAATCGATCCGCTTGGGCACGGAAAGTGGTTGTACACAGCAGAAGCGTTTTACGTTCGCAAGCTCATCAAGCACGACAGCATATGAGTTTGTTCGTCAGTACGGTCATTAACCCTCGTCGCCTTGTATGGCAATGAATGGTGGACAGTGGATAGATTACAGTGAGTGGTTGACACTAGCGACCTCGCGCGTATTCAAATTTATCACAAACAATATTCAAGACATACAGTTCGCCATGCGCGAGGTTAAGCAAACACATGGGAGTGTTATTTCCATGGCACGATTGCGAAACGTTCAACATTCAGGAGGAGCTCCAAGCTACGAGGAAGTTTCAATTTACCCCCCGTGTCTGCTTCGACGTCGCTAATCATTGTGTGGAAGCCCTGGTTTCGCACCGAAGCCAGTCGATCAGTACGCTTGCATTCGTCGAGATAGGGCGATCCCCTGCGCAAGTATCCCAGTGCTGGCTTCTGTTTCGACGAGTTCGGCCGACGGCTCCCCTCTCGAAGCGTGGCTTCGTCTACCCTCGAGGGAAACGACACTGCTACCAGAGCCGGCACGCAGACCGAACCGAACCAAACCGTACGCCCAAGGCGGCTCCAAGACGGCACCCAATCTGTTTCGAAGGGGCAACGGAAACATGTATTTCACTACGGGTGCTGCGTGGTGACCATATACGGGCTTCAGGGCGCTCAAGATGACCAGGAGACCTCCAAGATCGCCCTACGACCCAAACAAGCCACAAGAGGGCCCCTAGACGACCCCAGAATGGCCGCCTGGAGCCTAAGTTACCCCAAGATGGCCCCAAAGGCGCCCCAATGCTGTCAAGATGGTCAACAATAGCCAAGCTTGGATTGCAGCGAGATGATTCCGACCAGAGGCCCACAAGGGGCCCCCAGGAGGCCTCAACAGGCCCTCGCGAAGCATCACATCGGCTTTCGATGTGACCCAGAGAGGCCCCCTAATACGCTGCAAGAGGCTTCCCAGCGGCATCAGGTCGACCACAAGTCCATCAAGAGAGGCACCCAAGCACCCTCTTTGCGTGGCTAGGCTAGGAGGGGGAGTTTTGCGAGCGAGACTTCCAAGACCTGGTCACATTCCTCTGACCCTCGGCCACGGCTCTGGCGTGTGAGGATTCCGTCTTGGCCTAAGACACGATGAGGCGAGGTGGTCTCCAAGAAAGCCAACAAGGTGGCACGCGATCGCCACAAATAGCCCAAAGTGGCCTACAGGAGGCCTCCAGACCCCCACAAGACGGCCCGAGGTGGCTACGGAGCCTGTCCCGAATAGCCCCGAGAGATCAACACACGTTGAAAGTTGGCATGGGTTTGTTAGTGATGTTGGCCTCTCTGACTTTCGGTTTCCAAGAAGATCTTGAGGCTTACAAATAGCCATAAGATCGCCCAGGAGAATTCTCCAAAGGGCCCAAGATGGGCTTGGAAGTTTGGATGCCCCCTTGAGGTTCCCGAGATAGGTCTCAACCGTGGACACCCAACGATTCACGCCACGCTGGTCGTACGACGTCCCCAGGAGGGCTCCTCAGGCTCCGGGAGGCACCAGCAGAGCCCCAACAGGGCCTAAGCAGGGCCCGAACATGACCCCAAGAGAACCCCGCTTCAGGGTAGTCCCAGGGGGCCCTCAACCAGAGCCCTCACACCCGAGGACCCTCAAACAAGGAGTCTCAGACAGAGGAGACCCATGTCAAGAAACACCCTTCTTGCCTCCTGGGTGCCCTGGGTTTCTTGGGTTTTGATGGTTTGCGTTGGAAGGCGTGACGTTCCCACACCAAAAATCGATGGACGCCTGGGGTCTCAGGGTTGGGTTTCTTATGGAAGGTTTTTTGTGGACTGGCCTCCACTCTAGTCCCAATAGGTCCTTCAAACCCTCACACCCGAGGACCTCCCAAACACGGAGTCTCATATGGTTGCGAAGTTCATTCTTCTCTCCGCGGTCCCCCAAACCCTCACACCCTCCTCCTCCTCCTCCTCCTCCTCCTCCTCCTCCTCCTCCTCCTCCTCCCCCTCCTCCCCCTCCTCCTCCTCCTTCTCCTCCTCCTCCATCTCTTCCTCTCCTCCTCCTCCTCCTCCTCCTCCTCCCCTCCTCCTCCTCCTCCTCCTCCTCCTCCTCCTCCTCCTCCTCCTCCTCCTCCTCCTCCTCCTCCTCCTGCCTCCTCCCCTCCCCCTCCCCCTTCCCCTTTCCCTCCTCCTCCTCATTCTCCTCCTCCCCTCCCCCTCCTCCTCCCCCTCGCTCCTCCTCCTCCCTCCTCTCCTCCTCCCCTCCTCCTCCTCCTCCTCCATCTCTCCTCTCCTACTCCCCCTCCTCCTTCTCCTCCTCCTCCTCCTCCCTCCTCCTCCTCCTCCTCCTCCTCCTCCTCCTCCTCCTCCCTCCTCCTCCTCCTCCCCCTCCTCCTTCTCCTCCTCCCCTCTCCTCCTCCTCCTCCTCCTCCTCCTCCTCCCTCTCCTCCTCCATCTCCTCCTCTCCTCCTCCGCCTCCTCCTCCTCCCCCGAGGACCCCCCGAGCAAGGCGTCTCCTATGGTTACGGAATGCTCATCTTTCTCTCCGCGCTCGGCCAGGGGCGGCCACCGCGCCAGACCGCAGGCCACAGGCAAGGGGGAGGCGCCCTCTCCTCTCTTCCTCTCGTCGTCCTCCTCCTCCTCCTCCTCCTCCTCCTCCAACTTCGTTTTCCTCCTCCAGTCCTCCTCCTCCTCCTCCTCCTCCTTCTCCTCCTCATCCTCCTCCTCCTCCTCCCCCTCCTCCACCTTCTCCTCCGCATGCTCCTCCTGTTCCTCTGTTTCCTCCTCCTCCTCCTCCTCCTCCGCCTGCTTCTCCTCCTTCTCCTCCTCTTCCTCCTCTCATTTCTCCTCCTCCATCCAGCCACAGGTCAGGGGGAGGGATGCGCCCATGCCCAGATGGGAAGTCGGGGTTGTTTCGGAAGAGTGCATCCGCTAAATCATTTACGCCCAAAGGGGTGGTTGGAACTGGAGAGTAAGGCGGTTCGCCCACTTCTTTGACAAGGCCTCGCCCACTCCACCTCATGAAAACGTGGCAACCCTGCTCGGACCCAGATCGTCATCCATCTATGTCACCTCGTCTTTGCCGTTCCCCCATACTCTGCCGTTGATGCTCAAGCTCGTGCCATCATCCGCCGGACCCTTCCGGACGGAGGAAGGACGTTGACACCTACTCCCGTTGTGCTAGGTTGTTTCGAGCATCACAGTCAGGTCGCCTTGACGTGTTGATGTTTAGCCCGTCCGTGCAGTTTCCCCTTCTCTCCCATCTCGCCCCTCCCACCCCCTCTCCCATCGCCCATCGCGCCCCTCCCACCCAGAACGAGAAGGAGGATGAGGAGGAGGAATGAGAGTGAACGGGGGGAGGAGGAGGAGGAGGAGGAGGAGGAGGAGGAGGAGGAGGAGGAGGAGGAGGAGGAGGAGGAGGAGAGGAGGAGGAGGAGGAGGAGGAGGAAGAGGGAGGAGGAGGAGGCAGGAGGAGGAGGAGGAGGAGGAGGAGGAGGAGGAGGAGGAGGGAGGAGGAGAGGAGGAGGAGGAGGAGGAGGAGGAGGAGGCGGAGGAGGCGGAAGGGGAGTGGGAGGGGAAGCGGGAAGTGCGAGGCGAGGAGGAGGAATAGGAGGGATGACAGTAAATGTGGAGAGGAGAAGGACAACAGGATGAGGAGGAGGAAGTAAAACAACAGGGGATGAGACGGAGGAGGATGGAAATGATGAAGAAGAGGGAGGAGACGGCAGGAGGAGGGGAGGAAGGAGGAGGAAGAGGACCAGGACGAGGAGCGATAAGAAGGCAGGATTAATAAGAGAGGATAATGAGGAAGAGATGATTCCTCTTAGATCCTAGATCCCAGATCCCCCTGTGCACCCCTCGCTGCTTCCCATCCCTCTCTTGTTCCTCCCCCACACTAACTTGTGGGGGGGGGCACGGGGAGTATAGGGGTAAAGAGAGTGGAGAGGAGGTGGCAGAGGGAGGCGAAGGCGGCAAGAGGAGGAGGAGGAGGAGGAGGAGCAGGAGGAGGAGCGATGAAGGAGGGGCCGGGATGGAGGCGGCGACTCAAGGTGGTAAACGGCGGGTGTCTTCGTCCTCGTTGTTCCTCGCTTGCCAGCGCCTCTCGCTCGCGGCCGTCCGCGGCGAGGGAGTCGCCTTGGCAGGAGGATGGCCGAGCTGCCAGGGTACGACGCATGCGTCGTGAACAAGACCTTCCTCGAGCCGGTTTCGAGGGTCCCAGCAAATGGCGGCCGACCGACCGACCGACGACGGACCGACCGACGGACGACGAGCGCCTTCTGCCGCAGGCAGCGGGCGGCGCCCCGCCCTCATCGTGCATTGGCCTTCGGAGGGGCCCGCTCGTCGATGTGGCTGGACGCGTCTCGGAAACACGGCCAGGATGGACACGGAGAGGGGTGTGGGGATCAGAACCCCTCCTTGCCTCCAAGGAGGCCCTCTTGGAAGTCTCCAGACCCTCCTGAGAAACCATCTGCCTCCTTACAATGTAGCCTCCTCCTGCCCGCCGCCAGTTGGGTCTGTGGAGGGCAGGTGCAAGACGAGGAGCAGGCAAAGGACCAGCGGGGTGTTAGCTCCCGGCGGCTGCACAGTTCAAGACCGAAGGATAGTGAGGGCCCAGGTGGATCTCGCAGCCACCATTTGAAACGAGAGACCCCTTGGATTAAGTAGGGCCTGTCCCTCTACAGGGGGAATGTTCAAACATAGTCAACAAATACTCTAGGGACTATTTTTCGACAATTGTTTTACTGTTGTTGAGCATTTATGGAGTATTTCTGTTTTTCATCCAAAAACCGCCTGTAGGGGGACACGCCCGACCTAGCCCTTGGACAGTGGTTCGTTGCGTTGAGTGCGCATGCCCAAAAAAACATGAAGCTATTCGCTACCAGGCGGGTTCCAGGTACCTCGTGGCCATTATCGCTCGCTCCCAGGATGTTCCACGGAGTCCCGCTGCCGCCCTCGACAGTCTTAGAGCAGTTCGACAGAGGAGCCCCAGCATGCGCACCAGGGAACCCAATGATATGCCTTTCGGTAGGGGGGAGTGTGGCCTCCTGGAGGAGGTCCTCTTGGAGTCCTCGTCGGACGTATTGGGAGCCTCTCGGGCCGCTTGCAGGCCATCCTGGGCCGTACACCGTGGGCCGTCGTGCAGACATTTTGGAGGCCGTCGTGGGCTATGCTCGGACCATCTTGGCTTGGCTGTCTTGGAGGCCGCCTGGGACGGGAAAGCCACTAGATCCCACCGTTTGTGGTCGTTTCCGGGCGACCAGCGGGGGTTGGGCCAGGGGCCACGCCTGGCACGCCGGGCGCCACATCCGCAGGCTGCGGAGACGGCGGGTGCTGTGCATCCTCCTGCCCATCCCGCCACCTTGCTGCGGGGGCCTCCATTGTTCAGTCGATCCTCCTGTCTAGCTGTTGCGGTTGCAAAGTATCTATGCGTCTAGTTTCTAGTTCGTCCTCATCATGTATCATTCCGCTCGCTGGCGTTGAAGCATTCTTGATTGCACGCGTGCGCCTCCTCAGGCCCCAGCAGCGCCGGTTCCTGGACAGCTGCAGCGGTCACAGACAGCGCCGCCGCGGTTTGCCCCCATGCCTGTGACCAACATCTCTTTGTGCTACGACGACCCAGACTTTGAGATTGAGAAAGACGAGGAGCACGACGGCGAGGGCGAGGGCGATGACGAGGTCATGCCCCCTCCGCCCCCCCCATCGGAGCTTCAAAGGCTACAAACCTACAACGTCTTTGACGAGCCGGGTGAGCACTGGCAATGGAACAGCGCAGCCGCGGATTGCGCCGGGCTGCCGCGGGTCACGATGGCGCAAATGGTGCCGGTGGTTTATGCCGCCCCTGTGGCCGTCCACATGCAGCCTATGAATCACTTGAACTCGATGCCGGCCAACATTAACCCGATGGGTCATGCCGAGCAGCAGGGTATAGCACAGGACGTTGGTTGGTTGAACATTGAGATCCGGGCGTCGTGAGAAAAACACGGCGGCCGTTTTCGTCCTTGTGAAGGTTCTTGGACCCCCCCTCGAAAATGTCTAGCTCGAAAAATATCGCTGGAAGCTTTATGAAATCGGCAGCTCATGCCGTGATGTTTCACGATGCCAGTTGTTTCAAGGTGTCGGATCTCGAAGAGCGTCTTAGGTATGTTCCAGTAGTGGATGGGAAGGAAAAGGGGGAAGCGGCGCAGCACCAGAGGGGCTTGCGGGTTCGTCCTCCCCTCCTGGAACATTCCTTACCCTGGGCTTCCTCTCTGGGCTTCATCCAGAGTGCCCGCCCACAGTACTAGTGGGTCGCTCGGGGGAGTCCTGGATCTATGCCAGCCGATGTTGCAGCCAGTTGCAACCCTGGTCTCTCTGGCGGTCGTGGAGGGACAGAGCGTTCCGACACAGGGACACGCTGGAAGCACAATGTCACATTCAACAACCTACTTGGGGAAAGGGATACTTCCGCGAGAGCGTGCCCCTGCAACCTTGACTCGTCGGCCCGTCCTAAGGTGACTTGTGGCTTCCACGGGGGTCCTGCGCGATCATCGAACGGTCCTGCATCCTTCCATTGCATCCTGAAGTGTGATGTTCATCGCCCCGCCCCCCCCGCCTGGGGCCCGGGAGAGGTGCCCCAGCTCTCTTGGGGGCAGGATCGCCGCAGAGAGGGCGCTGCGGACCGGGTGCGCAGGGGGTGGTCTCCGTATGCGCCTCTCGTCCAGGGCACAGCAGGCGTGGCATGCTCTCGGCCCCATAGGGGGTGCGCAGGGGGTGGTCCCGGTATGCGCGCCTCTCGTCCAGTGCACAGCAGGCGTGGCATGCTCTCGGCCCCATAAAAGGGGGTGCGCAGGGGGTGGTTTCCCTATGCGCGCCTCCCGTCCAGGGCACAGCAGGCGTGGCATGCTCTCGGCCCCATAGGGGGTGCGCAGGGGGTGGTCCCGGTATGCGCGCCTCTCGTCCAGGGCACAGCAGGCGTGGCATGCTCTCGACCCCATAAAAGGGGGTGCGCAGGGGGTGGTCTCCCTATGCGCGCCTCTCGTCCAAGGCACAGCAGGTGTGGCATGCCCCGTAGGGGGTGCGCAGGGGGTGGTCCCAGTATGCGCGCCTCTCGTCCAGGGCACAGCAGGCGTAGAACTTTCTCGACCTCATGGGGGGTGCGCAGGGGGAGTCCTGCTATGCGCGCCTCTCGTCTAGGGCACAGCAGGCGTGGCATGCTCTCGGCCCCATAGGGGGTGCGCAGGGGGTGGTCTCGGTATGCGCGCCTCACGTCCAAGACAAAGTAGGCGTGGCACTTTCTCGACGCCATATGGGGTGCGCAGGGGGTGGTCCCACTATGAGCGCCTCTCGACGGTAGCAGCATGGTAGCGGCTGCGAGCGTTGTCCACATGTTGCACGTCAGCTGTGCGCACACAAGTGATTAAACGAAGTCTGTGGGGTTCCTCGGTAGCGTAGTTTAGTTTTTTTATTTTTCGCCCAAATCCGCCTGGACATGCCCGACCTCATGCTGGCGCCCGTCCGCGTCGCCGCAGACCTGTGCGACTGCCAGGCCGATCGAAAGGGGGGCATCGGGAAGGGGGGGGGGGCGAAATCTGCTGCACGCTGCTGGTTTCGGCCCCACCACCGGGCCCTTTCCTCGATGCATGGGCGCCTCCGGGCGCCAGCAGGAGGCGCCGGGAAAACCAGCCACGGGAGCCGTCTCTCTGCCCTGCCTGTGCTATCCTTCCCTCCTCGTTCCCCCGACAGTGCAAGACAGCGCACCTCTGCCCTGCCCTTTGCTGTGCTGCCCTGCCCTTTGCCACCCTTCCCTTCTCTTTTCCCCCCCGGCAGTGCAGGACAGTGCACCTCTGCCCTGCCCTGCCCTTTTTTGTTGTCCTGCCCTGCCCGTTGCCATCCTTCCCTTCTTGGTTCCCCCCGAGACCCGGGCTGCCCGCGCCGCCGGGCGTGGTACTCTCGGCGTCCTCGCGCGCGCGCGCGAGGCCGCGGTGGTCCACGCCCCTGCCCGACAGACGGGTCAGCACGGCAAGCCGTCGTCGCAGCGCCCGGCCGTGCAGTGGGGACCCATGCCAAGAAGCACCGGAGGTGGACAGACTTCCTACCCTGACACGTCGATGAAGGAATTGGCCGTTTTCGGTTCGCGAGAGGGCGTCGCGGCCGTCATTTTTGCGGGTCCAGGTCCGTCGATTTCGGTCCGAGGTCGTTTTCACTAAGGGGAGGTTTACTAAAGGGAGGTTTGTCCACCGCCGAAAGCACCTTGCTTGCTTCCAGGGTGCCCAGCTGGACCCACCAGCGATTTGAGCGCGCGATCCGGGCGTGGTAGCCAGGCTGGTGTTCGGCTCCACCCCCCCCTATGCGGACAGTAGAAGTTGGAAGCTGGGACTGGCGCAAGGCCAGGAGACCTCATCCGCGCAGCCTGGCGGCCCCACAAGGTGGCTGGTGGATTGATGTCCCCTGCACAGCTTGTATCTCCATGCTCTACAGTGGGGGTCCATGCAATGAAACATCCTGCTTGCCTCCAGCGTTCCCTGGGTTTCTCAGGCTTCGATGGTTTTGCTATGGGAAGCGTGACGTTTCCACACCAAAAACCCATGGACGTCCTGGGGTCACAGGGTTGGGCTTCTTGTAGAAGGTTTCTTGTGGAGTGGCCTCAAGTCGGGCGTGTCCCTCTACAGCAGGAAAATTCAAACATAGTAAAACAGTTCTCTGGGGACGATGATTATACCATCTTTGGGCTATGTTTGCACATGTTTTGGCGATTGATTATTCTTTCTTCAAGATCCGGCTGTAGGAGGACATACCCGACCTGAGACTGGCCCCCACTGTAATTATATAGAGTGAGCCCGTCGGCCACCGCCGCCGCGTCCTGTGCCGACGCGCGCGGCGACGCGCTGGGGCCCGCCCCGCGCGAGATGGCCGAGCAGAGACAGCTCGAGCCGGAGCGGACCGATTCGAGAAGGCAGCGGGCCGTGGCGCCAGACCCGTCGGCCGGAGGGGAGGGGAGAGGCGGATTCGGGAGCCCCTCAGAGGAGGGCCGTTTGAGACTCTGGTGGGGTTGGCCTTCGGGGGGGCCCTCGTCGCCACGGCCGGGCGCAGCGCGGAACGCCTGTGCGTGTGGACCCCGGGAGGGGGTCCAGGGACCGCTTTCGAATCCCCAGTGTCTCAATCAGGCAATCGTAAACATGGATCAAGGGGGCGTGGACTAGCGACGGGTCCCTTTTCCATTGGAAGTCGCGGATCTCCGCCGCCGAGCGGGGCGGCACCGGCCGCATTTTGGTGAGGGCACTTTCCCCGATCCATGGATGTGGCGACCGCGCGCCAGATCCACGGATCGCTGATCCACGTCTGCGCGCCCCCGAGGGGGCGAGGCGAGCTCTGCTGCATGCACCTGGTTTCGGCCCCGCGGAGGAGGAGGAGGATGAGGAGGAGGAGGAGGAGGAGGAGGAGGAGAAGGAGTGAGGAGGAGGAGAGGAGGAGGAGGAGGAGGAGGAGGCGGAGGAGAGGAGTGAGGAGGAGGGAGGAAGGAGAGGAGGAGGGAGGAGGAGGAGTGAGAAGGAGAGGAGGAGGAGGAGGAGGAGGAGGAGGAAGAGGAGGAGGAGGAGTCAAGCCGCCCTGCTCCGAGCCTTCCCCCGGCAGCCGAGGACGCCAGGGCGCTGCCGGGAGGACCCCAGGGGGGAGAACAAGGAGGGGCGGGCGGGTTCGGGCGGGGCGAGCCGTTGACCCCGAGGCCGTCCACTCGCATCGCCAGTGGCGGCGTCGGCGTCTCGCCGTGCCTGAAGGGCCCGCCGTTTTGCCTTACAGTGGGGGCGCGCATCAAGAAACCATATGCTTTTTGCTGGGGTATCCTAGGGTTTCTTCGCTCCTCGCGCTGCGCGGTGACTTCCCGCAGCAGCTGAAGGAGCTTCTGCGTTCAGGGTGTTCTGGGTTTCCCCTCAGGTGCACCTCGCGCACGGGTTTTCAGGGTTGGGTTTCTTGCGAGGGTTTCTTGCGGCCGCGCCCGCACTGTATGATGTTCCAACCTACTTTTAGCCTCGATCGCCGGAAAGAGTTTCGAGCACCAGGGAAGTGCCGAAGCTCGAGGGTTTTCACGCGTCGGGCCCTGGGAGACACTCGCCAGACACTGTTTCGGCACTCTTCCGGGTGCTCGAGATTATTTCTGGGATGTGGTCCTCAAGTACGATGGGAGCAACATAAGTTTCACCATCAGTTGGCTGAAGTCGGGCACGTCCCTCTGCAGGAGGAATACTCGCAAAACTAGTCAACACAAATTCTCAGGGGACGATTTTGTTGGGGGTATGTTTGGCTATGTTTCAGGTACTGTTGGGGTATTTTTGATTTTTTGTCCAAATTCTCCCTGGTGGATGACATGCCCGACCTGACGCCATCGGAGGAGGGGTCCACCGCCAGAATCTGTCCACATCCACTGCGTCAGAGTCGTGCTCTGGGATCTCGACGAGTGGCGGACATGGATATTTGCCCGCCCAGGTGGGCGGGCAGATGTACATGTCCACTGCTCCCCGAGTCTTTGGAGGACGACCCCGCGGCAGTGGATGTGGACATATTTGGGCGGCGCAGAGGTTGGCATCCGCGATGTGCTGGGCGATGCCTCGTCGATCCCAGGTCAAAGTGCGCCCTCTCCTTCCCGTCCCCCCCCAGTCTCGGGCGAGGAGAGCTATGCACACACACACACACACACTCGCACCGACCCCGGCCACGCCCATCCTGGGCCCAGGATCGATATATTACACCCCCCGGGCCAGGCCGCGAGGCCGTGTGCCCCGATCCCGGGGCCCAGGAGGGGCCTGGCCAGCCATCGGTGGATGTGAATCGTTCTCCTCCTCCTCCTCCTCCTCCTCCTCCTCCTCCTCCTCCTCCTCCTCCTCCTCCTCCTCCTCCTCCTCTCTTCCTTCTACCAGTTGCCTTCCCCTGAGAGGAGGCGCGCCGGGCCCGCCGGCCGTCGGGCCCCCGATGCCGCAGACGCTGCAGAGGCCTGCCGACCTGAAAGACCCATGGCGGCCCCCGCCCTTTGAAGGGCCCGAGGGGGCCCAGCAAATGTCGGGGGCGGCAAAGATCGGGGGAACGTAAGACCCGGGTTTGCCAGGACTCGGGTTCGCCATCGTTTTTTGACGACCGCGACTCGGATTTTGACGAGTAGGAGTTTCGTGGGATGTCTGCAGCGGGAGGCCTCATCAAAATGCAGGCTCGGCCTCGTCATTGTTTTGACGACCTCGTCGGGGATTTCCGAGTCCCCTGTACCCGGGTCTTACGCCCCCCGGAAAAGAGGGGGGTCCAGAATCGGCCCATCGAGGAACAATTCGGTGTTTCCGAAAATGCCGACCGTTCAAGTCTGAACGCTCCCCGCGGTGTCGGGAACCTACGCTGGGGTCGACTCAGCGAGAACCTGCCGTATATCTGTTTGGGTCCCCCCGGCCTCCCCCGGCGCACAAGGACAACATCGAATGCATCGGGGGCGGCAAAGAGGGGGGTGGTGACTAGGGGGGGGGGGGATACCGTGGCGGGGGCCATATGAGATCTCCCCAGATGTCATGGCGCCTCCTCCTATTTCATCACGTCCCCAGCCCCCCCCCACCCCCTTGGGCCGCCGGTCACGATTTGCACCCCCCCCTCTTGGACACCCCCCCTCTTGGTCAGGAGGGGAAAAAACACAGACATAATTAACCGTCGATTCCCCAGAAAATATGGGAAAATGTGGGAAGTGGATTATGGGAAAAGATGGAGAATCTTTTTACTTGTGTGTATTTATTTGTGTGTCCTGGGGCCCCTTCACTTGGCCGCTCCCGAGAATGTAGCCTCCGGGGGTCTGGGGCCCGCCTTCGGCTCTTCCGATCGGGGGACCCGCTCCGCCCCCCGAGGAGCCAGAGTTATGTCGGGCGTGACCCCCTGCAGGGGGACTTTCGACGAAAAATCAAAAAATACACCAAACATAGTCAAAAAACAATCCAAAAATAGTCTGGGGACCATTTTTCCCGGAAAGGGCTCGGGCCCAGGGTTCTCTTTTAGCTGTTTACCCCCGGATCTGACGGCTGATGGGCCGGCGAATTTCTTTTGCGATCAATAACGAGGTCGCGTAGGGCCGGCGAATTAAAATTAGAGGATGTCTCGAGCGAAACGCTTGTTGTTCATAATGTGTTGAGAATGTCTCGAGCGAAACGCTTGTTTTGTGTTATATATTGTCCTCTCCTGGGGACGAGAATTCAGAGGGTCTCGCACGTGAAATGCTTGTTTTCACGTGCCCAGGTCTTGAGGATGTCTCGAGCGAGACGCTTGGTTTCACGCCTCCAAGTTGCCCAGGCAGATGTCTAGCATGAGGATTTGTTGAGGATGTCTCGAACCAGAGGCTTGTTTTCACGTGTCCAGGTCGCCCAGGCGGATGTGTAGCATGAGGATTTGTTGAGGATGTCTCGCGCCAGACGCTTGTTTGCACGTGTCCAGGTTGCCCAGGCGGATGTCTAGCATGAGGATGTGCTGACAACGTCCCGCGGGCGAGTCCCCCTGGCACGTCGCGCGGTGCACGTCCATTGGCACGTTTCGTAGCGCGTCCCCTTGGCACGTCCCGCGGTGCGTGCCCATGGCACGTCCCCTGGCACGTCGCCTGGCGCGTCCCTTGGGACGTTCCGCGGCGCGTCCTCCTGGCATGTCCCCCTGTCGATTAGTTCTGGGGCAGCTATCATCTGCTCAGGCAGCTCGAGCTTACGATCCAGATCAGTTCGGTGAGTACTCGGATGCCAGAGAGGACTCGATCCACAACGCTATATAGAGCACAATCGCGGCATGGCACATCGCAGTTCAGCACGGCGTAGCACAGCACAGCCGTCGGCACGGTACATCAAGATCGATGCACTCAACATTGCACCTGGCACATTCCGTGGCGCGTCCCGTGGCGAGTCCACCTGGCACGTCGCGCGGCGCGTCCCCTGGCACGTCCCATGGCACGTCCATTGGCACGTTTCGTAGCGCGTTCCTTTGGCACGTCCCGCAGTGCGTGCCCATGGCACGTCCCCTGGCACGTCGCCTGGCGTGTCCCTTGGGACGTTCCGCGGCGCGTCCTCCTGGCATGTCGCCCCTGTCGATTAGTTCTGGGGCAGCTATCATCTGTTCAGGCAGCTCGAGCTTACGATCCAGATCAGTTCGGTGAGGACTCGGATGCCAGAGAGGACTCGATTCACAACGCTATATAGAGCACAATCGCGGCATGGCACATCGCAGTTCAGCACGGCGTAGCACAGCACAGCCGTCGGCACAGTACATCAAGATCGATACATTCCGCATTGAATGTGCCCGTCGCCCAATCAGGTGTCTATGAAACGTTGCAATGCCTTACAGTTCTATAATCCTTTCCGGGTTCGTGGGTCGATCATGTTTGAGTATGTTTTACCTTTTCGGTGTATTTTGTGGGTATTTCATATTTTTCGTCGAAAATCCCCCTGTAGGGTGACAGGCCCGACTTAAGGCAAGAGCGGCCGGCAAAACGGCCACCGGCCGGGGCCAAGAGACCCAGTCGGCAGCCAATACTTGCAAGTCGGGCGTGTCCCTCTACAGGAGGAGTATGCAAAGACAGTCAAATCATAGTCTGGGGATGGTTTGTAGATTGTTTTTGGGGTAGTTTGGAATGTTTTTGTCTATTGTTTATGTTTCCGATGCCCCGACCGTTACGCTTTTTTTCAGAGTGTGTTGAGGATGTCTCGAGCGAAACGTTTGTTTTGTGTTATATAATTTCTGCATTGGGTATTGTCCCCCCCCGAGAAGCGGGAAAACATCGGCTCCTAACGCCCAAGGGCGGGACAAGTGTGAAAACACATGGGTTCCGAACACCCCAGGGCGGAGCAAGCGCGAAAACATATGGGTTCCTAACGCCCCAGGGCGGAAGAAGCGTGAAAACACATGGGTTCCGAACGCCCCAGGGCGGGAGATACGTGAAAACGCATGGGTTCTTACGCCCCAGAGCGGGGCAAGCCTGAAAACACATGGGTCGCCTGGCACGTCCCGTGGCACGTCCATTGGCACGTTCCGTAGCGTGTTCTCTTGGCACGTCCCGCGGTGTGTGCCCATGGCACGTCCCCTGGCACGTCGCCTGGCGCGTCCCTTGGGACGTTCCGCGGCGCGTCCTCCTGGCATGTCCCCCTGTCGATTAGTTCTGGGGCAGCTATCATCTGCTCAGGCAGCTCGAGCTTACGATCCAGATCAGTTCGGTGAGGACTCGGATGCCAGAGAGGACTCGATCCACAACACTATAGGAAGGCAAAACCGCGGCGTGGCACATCGCAATTCAGCACGGCGCAGCACAGCACAGCCCTCGGCATGGTACATCAAGATCGATACATTCAGCATTGCAACTTGGCACATTCCGTGGCGCGTCCCGTGGCGAGTCCCCCTGGCACGTCGCGCGGCGCGTCCCCTGGCACGTCCCATGGCACGTCCATTGGCACGTTTCGTAGCGCGTTCCTTTGGCACGTCCCGCGGTGCGTGCCCATGGCACCTCCCCTGGCACGTCGCCTGGCGCGTCCCTTGGGACGTTCCGCGGCGCGTCCTCCTGGCATGTCCCCCTGTCAAGTAGTTCTGGGGCAGCTACTACGTGCTCAGGCAGCTCGAGCTTAAGATCCAGATCAGTTCGGTCAGGACTCGGATGCAAAGGAGGACTCGGTCCACAACGCCATAGGGCACAATCTCCCCATGGCACATTGCAATTCAGCACGGTGCAGCACTGCACAGCCTTCGGCACGGTACATCAAGATCGATACATTCCGCATTGCATTCGCCCGTCGCCCAATCAGGTGTCTTTGTGAAGCGTTGCCATGCCTTACATTTCTACATGTCCTTCTGGGTTCGTGGGTCGCTCATGTTTATTTGTCTTCCAAAATTTGACTGTGGAGGGACATGCCCGACCTAACTCTAGTCTGGACCGCCCGCTCCCGCGCTGGCGCCACGCCGAGAAAGCACGAGCGCACGGCGCCTGCGTCGGTCTCGGCCTGAGCTCGGAGAAGAGCGGCCAGGGGAGGGCTCGAACTCGAATAGTGGAGGCCAGTCCACAAGAAACCTTCCGCAAGAAATCCAACCTTGTGACCACAGGACGTCCACTGACTTTTGGTGTGGGAGCGTCACGCTTCCCATACCAAAACCATCGAAACCCAAGAAACCCAGGGCACCCTGGAGGCAAGCAGGGTGTCTCTTGGCATGGGTCTCCACTGTAACCGTCCGGCCACGCCGAGAACTATATCGCACGAGCGCACGGTGCCTTGGCCGGTTTTGGGCGCGGGCCCGGCCCAGTTTACTCGTCTCTTTGGGCCCCCTTCTGCTTGGTAGCTGCAGAGACACGAGCAGAGACTGTCGGAGGTCTTCGCGCACGTCTCGAGGGGGCGCTGGGCCCCCTCGCCACCGCACCTCTTCCGCGCGGCGGGGACGGCGCTGGAGACGCCGCAAGGGGCGGTCCCGCGCCGACCGAACAACAGTTGTGGGGACCGAGCAACAATTTCTGGGACCGAGCAACAGGTGCTGCTCGGTTCCAAAATTGGGTGTTAGGTCAGAAAAGACTTGCTGCTCGGTCCCAGACGCTTTTGTTCGTTAACATCCGCACGGACCCCCGACAGTGCTTGCACCAAGGAGCTTCGCTCGCCTCTCTGCAGGACCCCGCCGCTGGCGTTCAACGTGGAACGCCCCACGGCGACCCCGCCGCTGGCGTTCCACGTTGAGCACCGACGGCTAGCCAGAATCGGTCAAGGTTGAACGATCCCCGCGGTGTCCGAAGCCAACGCCGAAGTCGCCACGACACGAACTTCCCGCAGATGTGTGGGGGGGGAGGGGGCCGCCGTGGGGGGGGCTTGACACGAGGGCAGGCTCGCTGCAGAAAGAGTTCCGGGAAGCTCTCGCGGCGTCCCGGGATGCCCGGGAGCGGCCACGGCGCCTGGGGCATCCTCCAGGCCTGCAGGTTCCCAGAGATCCCGAGCTGTCTCTGCTCCAGCTTGTCTTGTCCGAGGCGGGGGGGTATCCGTAACCACCGCCTGGGGGGTCGGTCTGCGGCACCTCGGCAGGCGGTTGGCATGGAAAGGCCTCCCCCCTCCGCCCAGGCTTGAATATGTCCATGCCAACCGTCTTCCTTATGACGTTCCAACCCACTTTAGCTTTGATCACCAGACAGAATTTCGAGCACCAAGAAGCTACCGAAACTGGAGGGTTTCCACGTGTCGGGCCCTGGGAGGCGATACTCGTTCGACACTGTTTCGATTATTTTCTGGATGCTCGAAATTGCTTTTGGGATGTGGTCCTTGAGTACGATGGGAACAACATAACGCCTGCCGAGGTGCCGAAGACCGATCCCCCAGGCGGTTGCTGTTTCGTCGTCTTGCGCTGGGGGTGTGCCTCCCTCCCCGATGGGTCGAGCGGGCCCAGGGTCCAGCTGCATCGCTTGCGCCTTGCCTCCTCCCTCCTCCTGCAGCGGGCGGGAGGAGAGGGATGATGGGCAAGCAGAGGCAACGGGGCATAAGAGAGAGGGAGGAGGAGGAGGAGGAGGAGGAGGAGGAGGAGGAGGAGGAGGAGGAGGAGGAGGAGGAGGAGGAAGGAGAGGAGGAGGAGGAGGAGGAGGAGGAGGAGGAGGAGGAGGAGGGAGGAGGAGGAGGGAGGAGGAGGAGGAGGAGGAGGAGGAGGAGGAGGAGGAGGAGGAGGGGAGGAGGAGGAGGAGGAGGAGGGGGAGGGAGGGGAGGAGGGAGGAGGGAGGAGGGAGGAGGGAGGAGGGGAGGAGGGAGGAGGAGGGAGGAGGGAGGAGGGAGGAGGAGGAGGAGGAGGGAGGAGGGAGGAGGGAGGAGGGAGGAGGCTGGAGGGAGGAGGCTGGAGGAGGAGGGAGGAGGAAGGAGGAGGAGGGAGGAGGGAGGAGGGAGGAGGGAGAGGGAGGAGGGAGGAGGAGGAGGGAGGAGGGAGGAGGGAGGAGGGAGGAGGGTGGAGGGTGGAGGGAGGAGGGAGGAGGGAGGAGGGAGGAGAGAGGAGGAGGAGGGAGGGAGGGAGGAGGGAGGAGGGAGGAGGGTGGAGAGGGAGAGAGGAGGAGAGAGAGGAGAGAGGAGAGCGAGAGAGAGGAGAGAGGAGAGGAGAGGAGGGAGGAGGAGGAGGAGGAGGAGGAGGAGGAGGAGGAAAAGGGGAGGAAAAGAGGAGGAGGGAGTGGAGGAGGAGGAGGAGGAGAGAAAGAGGAGGAGGAGGAGAAGGAGGAGGAGGAGGAGGAGGAGGGGCAGGGGGAGGAGGAGGAGGAGGAGGAGGAGGAGGAGGAGGAGGAGGAGGAGGAGGAGGAGGAGGAGACGGAGGAGGAGACGGAGGAGGGAAGGAGAGAGGATCGAGAGTTGAGATGAGGACGGAGGGAGGGATGGGAAGGAGGAGGAGGAGGAGGAGGAGGAGAAGGGAAAGAGGGAGGTGCCCCGAGGGCCGGGGGCTAGCTCCAGGAGGTTCCCCGACCCTACCCCCCACCCCCGCCCACTCGGCTGACCTTTAGCCGAGCAGGAGCACCAGCGTCTCCACCAGAGCTTCACGCATAGAGTGGACAGTGGACGCACGCAAGCTTCGCGGCAACGACAAGCAGGCGGTGTCGCCATCCTTCGATCTGAGTTGTGCAGGCAGGACGCTCCCGTTTAAGATGATGATATATCCGAAGCATGTCACCGACCAGAAGGGCGGCGCATCGTTCAAGAAGTCCAAAGGCAGAGGCACCGTCACAATCAAGTGCGAGGCGGACCTGAACACGGGCTCCACCCCGCTGCAGTTCAGGATATACACGGGAACGGGCGCAAGCAAGCAGACTCCGCGGGGCCCTGTCGAGCACGACTTCTCGGAGAGCGCAGTGTGCACGCTTCCAAGCAATCTAGTTGCGCCACCGCGCGGACCCACCACCGCGCTGGGGGGGGTGCAAGAGGAGGGGGTGCGAGAGGGGCACGTCGACGACCACCCCCCCCGCCCACCCACCGTACAGCAGGCACGTCAAATAAGAGACCAGCATGCCACCAGGTGCACCACGGAAACGCCTTATCCCCGGAAGGTTCGGGCGGGTGGTAATGTAGAGGGGACTTGAGTGGGGGGTGAACAAAAGGGGCCTTAAAGGGGCACTTTGGGGCCCCTGTTGGAGCACCAGCTGGCTCCAGAAGGGGGCCGAAAGTGCCCCTTTAAGGCCCTTTTCTTCACCCCCTCACTTAGGTCACCCCCCATTACCACCCGCCCGCAAGGCCTGAGGATCCGCACAAGTCGTAGGGTACCTTGGGATGTTCAGAGATCGTCGGCAAGCGTGCCCCTGGAGTTGCTATAGGGGGATTGCTTGTTTCAGGTGTCTACTGCGGTTTTTGAAAGATGCAGCCCAACATATTGGAACATGGACCCAAACATCGAGGCGGGTTGGCCTCTTCCAGTTGACGGTGGCGTGGCCAATTACTGCTTAGCAGGGGGGCAGCATTGGAAAGCCTGGCGCACACCGGCTGTGGCACGGCGTGCCGGCGGATATCGAGGAGTGGGATTTCGAACAGGTGAAGGATAAAGACTCGTCGACATTCGTGGTTGGCCTGGAGGTACTCACGCAGTAGTGAGAGGCGGCAGAGGCGGGGCGGCTTCGGCGGCGGCCTTCCGCTTCCCACCGCGCCCCTAGCCTGGACGTCCCTCTGCTGTGTCCTCCTCCGTCGGGGCCTCCCTCCTGCACGCTCTCTCGTAAACGCTCTCCTTCCTGGCCTCCCTGCCGGGCCTGGGCAAGGGGCAAATACGGGCCCGATGCAAACGAGGTGTAGGTCGTGAACATGTCCTAGAACGTCCGCGCAAGGGTGCCCGAACGGTCCACCATCTTCGGTGTTGGGCAACAGTATGTCTTGCAGCCTGTCTCTCCTCCAATACCATGGGTGCACTCCTTTCCAGTTCGGGTGGCAGCTTGCGGTCCCCATGCGGGCTACGAGCCCAGGATCCGCCCTCTGCGGGGGCTACGGCATCATTGTTTGGGACCCGCTCGCCTACAAAGACTCGTCGTGCGTTCTGGGCCGCCGTAGTCTCTGATGCCCCCTCGTCAGACACTTGGGAACAGCACGCCGGCCTGAATTTGCCCAACGTCGTTCTACCCGTGATGTGTATTGATGCTTTGATCTGTTGTGCGCATCTCTACCCTCTCACCTACCTCTCGATGAAATTGAAATTACAAATCACACGTGTTGCCACCCAGTGAACAGTTGGTTGAACCGTCCTCTTCCTCCTACTCCGCCCCCTCTTACTCCTGAACTGCCCCGCAGCGCCGTGTTCCCCATTGTCTTGCTCCACGTACGAGTTGCCCTTGCATTACTTTGGATTGCCTTGCCGTTCTCGCTCCAGAGAACATGACGAGGTCGCCATGCTCTTAACTTTCCGCCAACCCTACTCCTCCCCCGTTTCTCTATCCCAAGCGGGACCCCCTTGCTGGCGTGGACCTCGTTGGCGGCGGCCGCACTTTCACGCTCATCGCTCCCGATGGCTAGACCCCTCCGAATTCGAGACGCCATGGGCAGGATCCAATGAACTGGATCTTGTGTGGCCCGCTCCTCAGGAGCCAGGGCCGCCGCAACCGACCGCGAGATCCCACGGGCTGAATGTTCTTGGCGACGGCTCTGGGCTGGGCCTTCGCGGGCGTCGGCCCTACTCACAACACGACACTCGGGCATTTCGTGAGGGGGGGAGGCATCGATGGGTCGGCATGTCCTGAAATCCATTCGCTCTTATTTCTCCTCCCCCTCTCCTCTCCCATGTCGAAAAAAGAAACAGTGGCAAACGCATGAACTGTTGGCGCTCCGCGCGGAGCGCCGCCAGTTTATGTTTATGTAGTTGTTTCTTCTTCCCTCTACTCGCACATTGCCGCCCTCGCCGCTCTGACCTGCCCCCATCCCCCCGTCCTGCATGTGCGCATCCTTCCTCCGTTCCCGTCCTCCCTTTCTGCCTTTGTCGTTGCCTGCCTCGCACCTTTCCTCGGCTCCTATCCCGAGCGCGCCCTTTCCTTCACGAACTGGAGCTTTTCAAGGAAAGGGCTCGGGCCCAGGGTTCTCTTTCAGTTGTTTTACCCCCGGGGACGACTTGAAGAGGGCTGGCGGAATTATTTGCGATAAGGATGCAAAGTCTGATTGTTTTTTGGAAGAATGCGTTTCGCGCATGCCCGCTCGAGGAAATTGTGCTCCCTTATTTCGGATCCTCGACAAATAACTGGGTCCGCAGACACACGTGTTCCCAGGTAAACGACGGGGTGTGGATCATTTTGCGCAGAGTCCGTTATAAAACACGAGGTATGGAGACCCTGAATTTGTACAACAAGTGTAGAACAAGTGAACTTTTTGCGTGCCCGCTCGAGGATGGCGCGTCCCGCGCGCAGGAATCCCTAGGATCTCGAGCCCCGCGCGTGTTTTGCAAGAGGAAGGTTGGCTTTTCGCGTGGCCGCTCGAGGATGGCGCACCCTGCGTGCCGAATCTCTGAGGATTTCTCGGGTGAATCGATTGCTTGCGAAGAAGAAAATGCAACGTAAACATAAACTTTGGCGCTCCGCGAGGATTTCGTAAATCCGCGCCTGGGCCCCCCGGCGGCGCCTCCGGCGCCGCTCTTGGCGCGCTCCGCGCGCCAGGGAGGGGTGTCCAGCGCGAAGCCAAGAAATCCGCGCAGAGCGCCAATAGTTAATGTTTATGTGCTTGTGTCTTTTTCTATGTTGCGCAGCGCTTGAGAGCCCTGGGCGCCCCAGGATGCCCAGATGGTTTTGGGAATGCGGTCGGACCGTCATTTACCAAGGATCGCGGCCCCGGAGGCACGGGTGCCGCGTAATGTACGAAGGATCCTCTCCCTGGGAGCGCGGACGCAGCATCATTCACGAGGGATCCTGGCCCTGGAGGCGCGACTCCAGCGTCATTTACGACGGATCGTGGCCCCGGGAGCGCAGGCGCCGAGGAATTCACATGGGAGCGCAGCCTTGAGGGTGCGGACGCAGCGTAGTCTACGAAGGATCGGGGCCCATGGAGAGGACGCAGCATGATTTACAAGGGAGCGTGACCCAGGGAGCGCGAGCGCAGCGTAGTTTACGATGGATCGTGGCTTTGGGAGCGCGGACGCAGCGTAATTTACAAGTAATCGCTGCACTAGGAGCGCGGACACAGCATAATTAATCGATTAGGGATCCTGCCCCTGGGGGCGCGGACACAGCGTAATTGACAAGGGATCGTGGCCTTGGTGGCGCGGACGCAGCGTAATTTACAAGAGATCGTGGCCCTGAGAGCGCAAACCCAGGGTAGTTTACTGGGGATCGTTTCCCTCGCAGCGCGAACCCATTGAATTACAGGGGGCCGTGGCCCTGGAATCGCGAATCCAGTGCAATCTTCGGGGGACCGTGGCCTCCAGAGCGCGACCCCCGCGTAGTTTACAGGGGATCGCGGCCCTGGGAGAGCGGACGCCGAGTGATTTACGGTGGATCGTTGTGTTGTGAGCGCGGGTGCAACGTTCCTTGGCACGTCCCCCGGCACGTCCGTTGGCACGTTCCGTGGCGCGTCCCCCTGGCGCGTCCCGTGGCGCGTCCCCCTTGGCACTTCGCGCGGCGAGTCACTTGGCACGTCCCCTGGCACGTCCACTGGCACGTCCCATGGCGCGTCCAGTCATTGTGTCGCGTGGCACAGCGTAGAGAAGCACAACAGAGCCCCTGGCACAGTAGCATCACCATTGATAACTGGCAGGTTCCCTGGCGCATCCGCTGGCACGTTCCGTGGCGCTTCCCCTGGCACGCCCCCCTGGCGCGTCCCCTTGGCACATCGCGCGGCGAGTCTCCCGGCACGTCCCCTGGCACGTCCATTGGCACGTCCTGTGTCGCGTCCGCTGGCATGTCACTGCGCGGCGCGGCACAGCGCAGAGAAGCGCAACACCGCCCCTGGCACAGCAGCATCACCATTGGTACCTGGCACGCTCCCTGGCGCCACCCCTGGGCACGTCGCGCGACACGTCCCCTGGCGCGTCCCCCGGCTCGCCCGCTGGCACGTTCCGTGACGCGTCCCCCTGGCACGTTCTTTGGCGCGTCCCCTTGGCACATCGCGCGGCGCGTTGGCACGTCCCTTGGCACGTCTACTGGCTGGAGGGTTTCTCCGAAGGGCTTAAGCGATCCGTCCGCCTCATCTCTCCTCCTCCTCCTCCTCCTCCTCCTCCTCCTGCTCCTCCTCCTCCCCCTCCTCCTCCTCCTCCTCGGGTCGCCTACGGCCCCTGGGGAAACCGTCCACCATTGGCACGTTCCGTGGCGCGTCCCCTGGCACGCCACTGCGCCGCGCGGCACAGCGCAGAGCAGTACAACACAGCCCCTGGCACAGCGTCATCACCATCGAGCTCTTCAGCACTGCCACTGCCCATCGCGCCATTGAGGTGCCTGGCAACGTTTCCATTCCTCGCAGCTTAAAATCCCTTTCCGGGTTCGTGGGTCGATCATGTTTCCGGAAAGGGCAGAGGCCCAGGGTTCTGTTTCAGTATTCTTTACCCCCGGCTTCGACTTGAGGTGGGCCGGCGGACTTATTCTGCGATAAATAACAAAATCGAAGGGGGCCGCGCGGAGGCGAAATTGATGCTTGAGGATGTCTCGAGCGAAACGCTGTTTTGTTTGAAATTCCGATCGCCAAAACACATGGTAAAGTAAACATGTTCGGTTGTTGCGGATGTCTCGAGCGATACGCATATGGTGCAGAAATTGTTGAGGATGTCTCGAGCGACACGCTTGTTATGTGTTTCTCTCCTGGGGACCAAATTCAGAGGATGTCTCAGGTGAAATACTTGTTTTCACGTGCCCATGCATTGAGGATGTCTTAAGCGAGACGCTTGATTTCACGCGTCCAGGTTACCCAGGCAGATGTTTAGCATGATGACTAACTAGTTGAGGATGTCTGGAGCGAGACGCTTGGTTTCACGCGTCCTGGTCGCCCAGGCAGATGTCCAGCATGAGGATGTGTTGAGGATGTGCTTCGTGAAACGCTTGTTTTCACGCGTCCAAGTCGCCCAGGCGGATGTCTAACATGAGGATTTGTTGAGGATGTCTCAAGCGAAACGCTTGATTTCACGCGTCGAGGTCGCCCAGCAGCAGATGTCTAGCATGAGGATGTCTGAGGATGCCTCTAGCGAGACGCGTGCTTGAACGTGTCCAGGTCGCCAAGGCGGATGACTAGCATGAGGATGTGTTGAGGATGTGTTGCGCGAAACGCTTGTTTTCACGTGTCCAGGTCGCCCAGGCGGATGTCTAACATGAGGATGTGTCGAGTATGTCTGGATCGAAGCGATTGTTTTCATGCGTCCAGGTTGCCCAGGCAGATGTCTAGCATGAGGAGGTGTCGAGAGAACTTCTCGAGCGAGACGCTTGTCTTCACGTGTCCAGGTCGCCCTGGCGGGTGTATAACATGAGGATGTGTTGAGGAAGTCTCGAGCTGGACCCTTGTTTTCACGTGTCCAGGTCGCCCAGCATGAGGACTTGTTGAGGATGTCTCGAACGAAACGCTTGTCGCAGTACAGCGCATCGCAGTCCAACTCCGCCCGCCCGCGGGGCGTCCCCTGGCGCGCTGGCGCGTCCCCTGGCGCGTCCCTTGCGACGTTCTGGCGCGACGTGCCATGGCACGTCCCCTAGCACGCCATTCGGCGTGGCACGTTCCCTTGCTCGTCCTCTGCTGCGTTTCCTGGCTCGCCCCCAGGCGTTTCCCCTGCCCGTTCCGTGGCGCGCCCCTTGGCACGCGCTTGCCCGCCCCATGGCACGTCCCTTGGCAGATCACTGGCACGTCCAGGGCACGTCCCCTCACACGTCCCCAGACACGCCCCCTGGCGCATCCCCTACTGCGCCTCTGGCACATCCTGTGGCGCGTCCGTGAGCCTGTGCTCCGTGTCGTGTCGTTCCTCTACGGAGTTGAGTCGGATTGTGAGGTCGAGTTGATTGAACGTCCCGCTCGTTTCCACGTTAACTAATTCTGGGCAGCTACTGTGTGTTCAGGCAGCTCGAGCTTAAGATCCAAATCAGTTCGGTCAGGACTCGAATGCAAAGGAGAACCACAACGCTACAGAGCACAATCGCGGCATGGCACATCGCAGATCAGCGCGGCGCAGCACAACACAGCACTTGGCACGGCACATTAAGATCGATGTGTTCAGCAGTTGATTTGCCCGTCGCCCAATCAGGTGTCTTGAAAACGTGGCCACGCCTCACATGTTTGTATTCCTTTCCGGGTTGGGTCGATCATGCTTTGCTAATTAGTGCAGGTACCGCGATGCCTAAAAAGGCACCTTGTGTTACGTGGGGGTTGGCCGAGTTGGCGGTGAACCGTCCGCTGGGGGCCCACTGTACCGTCCTCCATGCCAGGGCATGCCAGGGCCCAAAGTTTGATGTGGACAGCCAGCGCATGGGGGGCGGAAGGCCGCAAGAGCGCGGGAAGGAAGGGACGCGAAGAAGGTTCATGGCGCCAATATCGCAGAGCGGATTTCGTTCGGAAAACAGTAGGATGGGCCTGGAGTGTACTGGAAAATTTCGTCCCGTGTTCCGATGTGAATTTCGTGCGGATTTGTGTGGGGCCAGGAAGGAAGACGAAACGAACATCCACGTGAAATTCACTCCGTTTTTCGCTCGCCGTTCCGAGGTCCTGCACTGACAGAAGTCCACGCGAAAATCCGCCGCGGCACGTCTGCAAGGTCGGCGCAAGGAGAAGGTGTGAGGGGGAAGGGAAAGACGACGCGAGGGGAGGGAGCGGTGGGGTGAGGGGGGGGTGACTGGGGGGGGGGAATATCATGGCGGGGGCCATGATACCTCCCCAGATTTCATGGCGCCCCTTCTTGTTTCATGAGAAGGCGTGAGGGGGAAGGGAAAGACGACGCGAGGGGAGGGAGCGGTGGGGCGAGGGGGGAGAGGCAGCAGGAGGGGCACGGAGGAGGGCCCGTCGGGGAGGGAGCGGGGGGCAGCGCCTCGGGGCGGTGAAGGGGGAAGGCGGCGACGGCCCCAGGAAGTGGGCGCAACAGTTATGTCGGGCGTGTCCCCCCTACAGGGGGGATTTTCGAGGAGAAGTAAAACATCCCCTAAAAATGCCCCCCAAAGGTAAAACAAAACTAAAAAAAATGTCCCCAGACTAGTTTTGGATTATGTTTGGGGTATTTTTTATTTTTCGTCGAGAGTCCCCCTGTAGGGGGACAGGCCCGACTTAATACAAAAGGGACGGGGCGAAGGTGGCCAAGAAGGCCTTTGGGGTGTGTCTGGCTTGTGCGGGGGCACTTCCGATCAAGGGCCCTGCGGGTCCTTGGGGATATTCTCACAGGCAGTTGTTGTGGAGCTCCTTGGGCGTTTGAGTGCTCACGCGTAGCGTTTGGGGATGAGTGGGAGTGGTATGTGGGCACGTTCTGGTTTTGAGCCGCCGCATGTGAGCAGTATGTACGCCTGCTATACATGTGTCAAGCAATGTTCACTGTGTCCTCCACATGCGTGGCTCCAGCGTGACCCCTCTTCTCACGCCATACTCCTCACTATCCTCCTTCTCGCCCGCCTCCTTCCCCTCCATCCTCACCATCCCCGTCCATCATCCCACATCCATCCTCTACCCTCCTCATCCATACCTAGGGGAACGACGAATGACATAAACATACAAACTCGAAGGTCCGCGCGGATTTCTTGGATCCGCGCTTGAACCCCCTCCCTGACGCGCGGATCGCGCCAGGGGCGGCGCCGGAGGCGCCGCCAGGGGTCTCCAGCGCCGATCCGAGAAATCCGCGCGGACCTCAGCGTTTTTATGTTTCTGTCGTTGCTCGTTTCTCTAATGCCTCTCTCTCCTCTCATCGTCCTCCTGCTCGCCCATCCTTCTCTCCCTGCCGCCCCCGCCAGTGCGGAAGCACCCTGGCGACTGGCGCCGCCGACGGCGACCAGCGGCCGCTGCACCCGATGTGGGACGAGTACGAGCTCAGCGCGCCCGTAGGCCCCGCCAGCCGTGCCTCACCGGGGGCGCCCAGCGGACGAGAGTCGGGGGCAACGATAGGGGGGGATAGGCATAGGGGGGACGCATCGACCCCCAATCAATCATGGATCGCCGATAGGGGCCCGATGCCCACCCTTTCCCAGGAAGGTGCGGATCCACTATCGGAGACCTGTCGCCTATCTATCGGCCATGTGTCGCCGATTCCAGGTCGATGCATCCCCCTGTGACCGTATATGTTCACGAACACTTTTGATTGCGAGTGACGCGGAAAGAGCCGCGCACCGTCAGGTAAGGTCGAACAAATGCAACGCCGCGCGAGGGCAGGGCAGCGGCAGAAGCGACGGGCCACTACGCGGACAGCGCAAGTGGGACGAAGACAGAACGAAAGAAAGTGGAAGAAACAATCACGAGGCGGAAGAGGGAGAACCAGGGACGAAGGAGACAAGGAAAAGACGGCGGGCGCGCAGGGGAACAGGCTCAGGCGGTCAAGAGATCGAAGTACCTTGCCGACGAGCAGGGACACGAAGTACGGGGGGGATCGCGAAACCACAGACGCACACCAAGCGTACGTGACATACAATCCAGCAAGCCGTCTCCAGCGCCACAGGATGAGCCGAATGGTAAGCGCCCTCCAGGAGCCATCAGGGGAGTAGGTACGCCCCAAGTGCGACGAAATGATCACGAACACGCTCACCGTACAGACAAAACAACACGGTGTGACATTATTTCTTTTGGAGTAACAGTATGTTTTGTAGACGAAAATGGAAGAGGTAACAACCTTTCAATAGCAACACCATAGTACAAGTATATCACAAGCACCATCTCAAAAAAAGAATTGACGCTGCAAGTTGTTAGTTCAATGCCTACGCTTTTATGTTTTACCAGTTTTACAATCATGTATTGGCTATTTCCCTGGCGACGAAGGCGAGCACCAGGGACGAGCACGACGAGGAGGAGGACGAGACCGGCGACGAGGACGTCGAAGGCAAGAACGGCGAGGAGGGCTGGGATTTAGTCGGGCGTGTCCCTCTACTACAGGAGGAATATCCAAGCCTCGTCAAACAATAGCCTGGGAACGATTTGTTTGTTTTTTTCGGGGTAGATGTTTCCCCATATCCTAAGTGGGGTTCTTGTTTTCTCTGGACACCCTCCGCGCAGGATCTCCTCACCCCCCTCTCTCTCTGTCTCTCTCTCTCTCTCTCTCTCCTTTCTCTCTCTCTCTCTCTCTTTCTCTTCCTCTCTCTGGCCGTCATCATCATCAGTCATCTTCACTCATCATCATCATCCTGATCACCACCATCATCACCCCCGCACCCCTTCGCTCACCATCATCATCATCATCATCATCATCATCATCATCATCATCATCATCATCATCATCATCATCATCATCATCATCATCACCACTCATCATCAGCATCATCCTCATCACCACTCGCTCACTCATCACTTCGTCATCACTCACTCCCTAGTCTAAATATGGAGGACGACTAGAGCGGTAGCCTCGTCTGTGAATGAATTGTGAGGAAGTCTCAGGCGGGACCCCCTTCCATATGGGTCCCGCGCTTCATGTTGGTAATCCGAGCGGGTCATCCTCAAACCTGTAACTGTCGTCACTTTTGGGCTCCTGAGGCTTGAATTTGGAGGAAGCACCAAGCGGGAGCCTCGTCTGTGGGTGAATTCAGAGGAAGTCTCAGGCGGGAGCCCCCTCTCCCTATGGGGGCCGCACTTCATGTTGGTAATCCGAGCGGGTCATCCAAAACGTGTAACTATCTTCACTTTTGGGCTCCTGAGGCTTGAATATGGAGGAAGTATCAGGCGGAATCCACGTCTGTGAGTGAATTGCGAGGAAGTCTCAGGCGGGACCCCCTTCCATATGGGGCCGGCACTTCATGTCGGCAATCCGAGCGGATCATCCTCAAACCTGAAACTGTCGTCACTTTTGGGCTCCCGAAGCTTGAATATGGGGGAAGTATCAGGCGGGAGCCTTCTCCGTGAGTGAATTGCAGGGAAGTCTCAGGCGGGAGCCCCTTCCCTATGGGGCCCGAACTTCATGTTGGTAATCCGAGCGGGTCATCCTCAAACCTATAACTGTCGTAATTCTCGTGCTCCTGAGGCTAGAATATGGAGAAAGTCTTAGGCGGGAGCCTCGTCTGTGAGTGAATTGCGAGGAAGTCTCAGGCAGGAGCACCCTCTCCCTATGGGGACTGCATTTCATGTTCGAATCCGAGGCGGGTCATCCTCAAACATGTAACTGTCGTCACTTCTGAGCTTCTGAGGCTTGAATATGGGGGAAGTATCAGGCGGGAGCTTTGTCTGTGAGTGACTTGCGAGGAAGTCTCAGGCGGGAGCCCCCTCCCTATGGGGCCCGCACTTCATGTTCGAATCCGAGGCGGGTCATCGGATTCTTGTAATTGTCTTCACTTTTGTGCTCTTCAGGCCTGACCGTGGAGGAAGTATCAAGCGGGAGCCTCGTCTGTGAGTGGGTGGCGAGGAAGTCTCAGGCGGGAGCCTCTCTCTATGGGGGCCGCACTTCATGTTGGTAATCCGAGCGGGTCATCCGAGCGAGGTTGTTCCGACGGCCTGCCCTCGCGCCCCTGCGGCCCGCGGGAATGCCCCAAAGGCATGGCTGGCCCGAAGGGCTGTCCCGACGGCTTCGCGATCTAGCCGTCGGCAAACGCGCGCGTGCTGGCCGAGGCGGCGACGGCGCCGAGGAAAATCGACTTGCTTCCCCCGACCAGGGGGAAGGGGAGGTGCACATGGAGAAGAGGCAGGAGGAGGATGAGGGGGGAAGGGGGTAGGGGGAGGGCGATGATGAGGAGGTGCAAAAGGAGGAGGAGGAGGAGGAGGAGGAGAAGGAGGGGGAGGGGGAGAAATAGAAGAAGGAAGAAAAGAGGGCTGAGGAGAGGGCGAGAGGAGGGTGTTTGTCATGGCCGGGAGGAAAGGGATAAGGACAAGCTAAACCGATGATCATGTGGGGTCCTTCCGTCGGAGTAATGTTATTATTATCATATATATGCATGTATTGAATATCGTTTCTATTTTTCGTTCAAAATCCGCCTGCAGGCGGACATGCCCGACCTAAGACGAACACCACGGCGAGGGCGTCGACGAGGAAGGGTATTAGTACAAGGGCCACCCTCATCTGAGGCCTGCCTGAGCATGCGCAGCGGGGGTTCTAGAGGAGGTTGGGGCCGACGACGACGACGACGACGACGAGGTCGGGTGCGAGCGCGAGGACTAGCATGACGACACGAGGACGAGGACGAACGCGAGGACCGCCTGCGATGAGTGCGGCGACAAAGACGATGACGACGAGTACCAGCTGGGTGCGCTTTTCGGTCCGACCAGCCGTACGCCACCGAGGGTCAGCACCCGGGCGGGCTGGCCTGACTGACAGCCCCGACGGCCAGGGAGCGCTGTTCGCTGTTTTCAGGCCAGGGGCACGATGAAGAGGAGGAGGAGAAAGACGAGGAGAGTGATAGGGGGGAGGAGGGAGAGCACGGCGCGCAGCTGATCCAGGTACAATCTGACAGTTTAGCTGAAGGAGGTGGGAAGGCAGGAATCCATGAGTTGGCCCCGCGGCGAGCTGAGTCCTAAGGGGCGTGGGGCTCTTGGGGAGAATGTTGATGTGCGTGTCGTCGCCTGTGCGGCTACGCCGACTCGCGGATGAACCAATATCAGGCTCATTGTCTTTTTCATTCTGCTCATCCTCCTTAAGGTTACCGTTTGCATTATCATCGTCCTCATCTGGGTTGCCGATATCATTCTCTCACCCATCACTCCCCACCCCCCCACCTCTCCCCGCTCGTACTTCTGCATATCCCCTCGTCATTTTGCTCCCCCGCATCCTCGTCCTCATCGCCCTCATCCTCAGTGCCCTTTTCGTCTGGCTATCCCGATTGCCCATCATTGTATATACGGAGCGAGTGGCAAACATTGCACTGATCCCTATCCTCTCCCTCGTACTCCTCATCTCCCTTCTTTCTGGCGATCTCCTGCTCCTCTAGCGCCTTGCACCCCGTCCTCCTCGTGCACCTCGTCGTCGTCGTCGTCGCTTCGCTCTCCTTCTCATCCTCCTCCACCATCCTTCCCTCACTCCTCCTTCGCGCCCTCCTCCTCCCTTCCCCTCCTCCTCCCTCTCCTCCTCCCCATCCAGCCTGAGTAGCCTGGCGAGGCAGGCCGGGGCCCGGGCGGCGTCGCTCGAGGTGCACCCAGCTCCTGGCGAGCACGGGGCTGCCGCGGGGCCGGTGCGAGGGTCTGCACGAACGAGTCGACTGGGAGTAAGAGTGACCTTTCGCCGGAGCGACCTTTGGTGCGGGCACAGATGGGCCCTCAGATGGCCGAAAGAGAAGCGGTAGCAGCGGCTTGCGCGCTTGTTTTTGTCCCCCCCGCGGTCCCAAAAAGCCGCGCACCAAAGGTCACTCTTACCCAGGGTCACTCTTGCGTGTAGCCGAACGAAATGGGCACGCAAAGACTGGGAAAAATGCCCAACAGCGGATCCTGTTTATTTTGAACAGGGCTCGCTGTCCACGCCGCCGCGGCCCGTGTCCATTCGAGACGGAGGGCCGCCTGCCCAACAGCGGCCGCCGTTGGTTTGGGGCAACATTTGTTGTTGGGCATTATACCCACTTTTTTCCGTACCCATTTCGTGCGTCCAAAGAGGGCGCCAGGCCGCAGGACAGAGCAGAGGACGGGAGGGGGCACGACTTTTTGGGGGCGGGGTCTGGGGCGTATCCCCCCTCAATTTAGCTCAGGGGCAGCTGCTTTGTGCTCAGGCATTCCGAACCTAAGATCCAGATCAGTTCGTTCAGGACTCGGATGCAAAGGGGGACTCGATCCACGGCGCTGTAGAGCACAATCGCGGCATGGCACATCGCAATTCAGCACGGCGCATAACAGCACAGCCCTTGGCACGGTACGTCAAGATCGATACACTCAGCATTGCAATTGCCCGTGCATGTGTTTCGAAAACGTTGCCATGACTCACAGTTCTAGATTCCTTTCCGGGTTCTTGGTTCGATCA